CGGTGGGTCTCGAGCGACAGGTTTGCGGAGATCAACGAAACTTTGCCGAGGTTGGCCGCTGGATCTCTGGGTTTTTGTTTTTGTTTTTGGTTCTGGTTTTCTGCAGGTGGAGGGTTGGCCTCGCGGTACTTTTCGAACACGACGAACACCCTTCAGAAGAAGTCATTCGTATCTCAAACACCAATTTCTCTCTAACTCAAACCCTAATTTCTTAACCTCAGTAATATTACCCTCTCACAGCCACGTATCACCCTCACACAGCCACGTATCACCCTCACACAGCCACGTATTACCCTCACACAGCCACGTAGCTAACTTCAGTCCACCCTGTCAGCTGCTCCGTTAAAAAATCAACGCCGTTTCCAAAAAGGACTTGATTGCACATTTTTTACAAAATTTGGGACCACATTGAACTTCTAAAAAAAGGTAGGACCCAATTGAACATTTGTCCCCTTTCGAGGGACCAAAAGAGGTATTAAACCTATATTTAAATATAAGTTAAAAAATAAAATATATTTTCATCCTTAAATTATTTAAAAAAATTACATTCAATGTCTAAATTAAATTATGTTTGTAAAGTTCCCCTTTCACCAATATGTTATAAATAAGTTTAATTATTTAATTTATATACATAGGTTTTACGTAGGTGTTTTATAGCTCTAGTCCTTAACATATACACATGAGTCTGTTTTAACTTTTATAACAAAGTTTATCATAAAATATTAGAACGATATTTAAAAAAGTGAAAAAAACTAAAATTAGTATAAAATAAAAGAAAAGAAATGAATTTAAAGCCATAGAGAATGATCATATTCCATCAATTTAAACCTAGTCAGTCCATTAGTTACATACATTATAAAATTATAATAGTGTGACACCCGGACACTGACGAGGACGGGGAGTGATCGTCGGTACAAGAGGCATGATGAAAGGGGTACTGACAAAGAGTGACTCCTAGCAGGCTTCCAGTGGAAGGGGCACATGGACGAATCGAACATACACCGAAATGAGAGGAATCTGAAGACTGTGTAGGTATGGGACTATACAGTTGAAAGATAGCTTAAACGGATTGATTTGGCTACTCATATCACTAAATACATTTGTTTTTCGGTAGTCTAACTCATAAGAACTCCATGATTAAGCATGCTTAGCCTGAAGTAATTTGGGATATGGAGAAATTATTATGTAGTATTCGGAAACATAGAGAAGCAAATTGATCATAGGACCATCTACAGATAGCTGGGAAGGTACAAATGCATTTGCTGATATGGTCATCACACATAATTGCAGAAATAACATAAACGGTGAAATGCTAGTAATAGATGTCGGCAATCTCTTGAAGGTAAGAGAAAAGCTGTTGTGGTTTAGACAACATGGGCATGTGATCAGCTCCAGCAATCACTTTGACCACATTAGGAGGGTTTCTTTCAACCATTGACAGTTGAAAATCCTGCTCCATTATTTTGTCCTGTTCACACACTATATAGACTCTGGCCACAGTTCCATGGTTCTCTTCCGTCAGTTGTGTATTCTCTCGCAAATCTTCGTCACCAAATATGGGAAAGGGTCTCAAAAGTGAAGACGCCAGGGCCAAGTCCTGGTGATCATTTACACATACCATCCCAATATCATGGTTAATTAAGAGACTTTTGCGATCGTCTGTAAAGTTGAATGCTAATAATTTGAAAACAACTTGAAAAGACATATACCTCTGGGGGAGATTGTTGGTAGACGTTGGATGCTAAGTTTTGAAGATCACATGTCATATATCGCTTCGGATGATCGTTGGTATTTTCATCTGTGACAGTCTTTGAGCCCAAATTGAATTTCAAGCTTAACCTGTGCTTGAACTATAGAAAATTAAATTAAAATGAGTAGCAGAGAGATGAAAGAACGGTTAGCGGTTGGTTGGTACCTCTAGGAACAGTGAGAGATAGCTGAGGTGGGGACCAGGCATCCAACCGGTAAGGAAAACAGCAGCTGCAACTTTGTGGGGGAACATTTCCATGGCTAGAGAAATGCATAAACCTCCAAAACTATGACCGACAAGGATGACTCGTTCCTCTGGTGGTAAAGATCGTAGAAATTGGAGCAAAGGTTCAACATATTGCGAAACTGAAGTGATATCGAGCACTTGGTTTGGATGGATGCCGGATGCAGCCATGTCGAGAGACGTGACTTGAAGGCCGGCGGAATTGAGGAGGGTAGAGAGCTTGTACCAACACCAGGCTCCATGGTAGGCTCCGTGAACCAACACCAGACGTCTCTTCTTCTTCCCCTCCATCTTCCTTCAGCTCACAACTTCAATGCTTCACGTCTCCACTAAATAAATATACATGTCCATTTTCTTTCATTAAAATGTATTTTAAATTGTGTCCTCTATGATAAAAGATTTATTCATGCTATGATAAATATAAAATTAGTGATTTCTTTAGATGAGTTCATTTAACATATTAATTTATTTATCAGACGAATTTATTTTTTCTTTAAAGTAAAATAAATTATTTCAATAACGAAATTAAAGTTTAAAGAACTTTGTAAAATATTTCAAATAACTAAATTGTTTTTTTTTTAAATTTACTTAAAATAAAAAAATTGTCATATGTAACACACACACACATGTATTCAATAAAAAATTAAATATTATTTGAATATTTAAATTTACTTAATATTTTTCTATAAAATATATAATCTAGAAAAATAATAATTTTATGATAATAATAATTTATAATTTCTTTATGTTGATGTAACATCCCAAAAATATAGTACAAAACTATATAATAGAATAATCACATTAATTAATAATTCAGATCCGTCTTTACTCTAAGAAAACGTACGGTTACGGGCGAACGGCTTTACAAAAAGGTTACAGCTAAAACTGTACAGGATAAGCAACGACAAGGACGGACGTACAAAACCAGACAACATAGAAAAACACAGGGTAAGCTTATGTAATTTAATTCATACGTACACATACATTTCAAACAATCCAACACACAAGATAAATTTCATCATACGAATCATACAAAGCCTATCACTAGACTGACTGTCCGGACTATATGAAATCTGTGTAGCTACAGGCGTTCGTGCACCCGGGTGATGTAGTAACTGGGATGCCCTCAACAGCTGCCACTCGAGGTTAGCCCTATCTGTCCAAAGTACCCCTAAGGACTAGGACCTCCTGCCGTTCCCACACATGACCTACCCTCCTATACGTGAAGACGAGTACCCACGGAACATCAGGATGAACAGCCAGCTTAGCATGCCCACAGTCATACTTTACAAATTTCAATATTCAAGCATGAGTCGTTCCTCCCCGGAACGCTCGTCCAAAAACCACAACCTTTCAATATCTCATTTTCTTCATCTTTCTTTAATAATCATCTCACTTAACCATTTCACACAAAGACCCGTTCGGAGACAATTGATCGAACGTTCAATCCTGACTCAGAACGAGCCTGAACAATTTGGAGCGAGACCGAGAGACCTCCAATTCCAGAATGAATTTATACTAAGAGGTTTACTATTGGTTTGAGAAAGAAACGAAGTACAATCTAATATCACTACCAATGAATAGAACGAACGTAACTTGCAAAATGAGTCAATTAGATGAATTGACTCTTAAGAACTTTAACCGAGCATCTAAAAAGAAAACCAAACTCAACACTAAAGCTCTAGGCCGAAGTCAATAGACACAGACACTCCAAGAGATTCAAAGAATAATACATAGAGGAATTCTCATGAATAAACCGAGCGTTTATGAGGACTTAGATTATTTAGATTTAGTATTAAGAAATATGAATGTCAGTTAAAGACTGAACACTATAGGGAGCGAACCTTAGTGGTTTGAACGAACGCTAGTATTAGAAAATTTTGTTTAAGGAGATAGAAAGAGTGCTCGGTGTAAGACCAAACACTTTATTAGGACGAACACTTGGTATAAGACCAGGTGTTACTAACAGGATATCAAGACAGAACTATGCTTAGTCGAACGCTCAAGCACAGTATTTCGAAGTGTAGACGCTCGTCCTCAACTAGGATTCTTCCCAAATGAAAGAATCCACTACAATTCCCAATTTACTAGAAAACCGAACGTCAAGGACCGTTCAGTAACGTACGTACACTTTCTTAGGGGAATTTCTTACCAGAATCATTATTATTCAAATTCAGTTCTTAACATATAGTTTCACACCTTTATACATTCACACAATAATCAATTTTTCATATCTCATAGCATCCAGACATAGAAATTTCATACATTTCATGCATCATAACATAGCACAATCATTTTTCATATCCAATCAAATCAACGAACGTTCATGCAACACATAATCATATAAATTAAATTAATAAGCTTCCCTTACCTCTTAAGATAGCCGAACGTTCACAGATACAGACTAGGGTTCTCCTTCTAACAGAGGCCTTAACGTTCTACAGCACGTTCTAAGAACTATAACCAACATAAAAACCAGAAAGATACTAAGAATGATAGGATCAGCTCATGCAACCAGGAATCTGGGTTTGCATGTTATAGAAAACACACGAATGGAGGAAGGATGAACTTACCAGTTAAGAATCCTAAACTGATCGGTTCAAACGATCGTTCTCTACACCGGAAGAGTAGAACTGGTGCCTGAAGGTTGATCGGAGAAGAGAAGAGGTGAGAATTTGTAGAGAGAAGGGAAAACGTTTTAGAAAGAAGGAGGAGAAATTGAGAAGTTCAGAGTCTGGGAAGAAGGGTGCATGCAGAAGAGAGTGGGACGGAAGTTTCAGAAAATCATTTTCTTCCCACGTCAAAACGAGCGTCCGCTCTTCTGCTGACACCTGCATCCCACTATCTGATTTCTGATCCTCGTTGCTTGACACCTGGCGTCCGTTCAGAGGAGTTTTGGGTGCGTTTTAATTATTCTGACAGGGGTTTTGGGTGCGTTTAACAAGGCCAGACAGTTGACAATTCAAATTATATATTATTTTTATTTGAATTCGTATAATAATAATCATATAACTATTATTTATCATGTTTTCAAAAATTATTATATACTTTTTAATATACATTTATATATCGTATCGTGTTTTATTATTTTTAAAATAAATTACGTAATTTATAATTGATGGTATCCAGTTTCAAATTATGGGTTCAGACAAAAGATTTTCGATTGAAAATGTCAATAAATTTAAATAAATCATTCATCACATGTATTAATCTTAGAATTAACTCTTTTAAAGATTTTTGCCATTCTGTTTTCTAAATTGTATACATACAAAAGACTTTATATAGTAGATACATTGTATTTAATAAAACCCTATCTGTAAAACCTTAATTTGAATTTAATTACTTTTTTTCTACTCTTGTTATCATGTTTTTTTTTCTTTTGTTATTATTGCTGGAATCCAACATATATAACATAGAGATAAATAAATAAGTAAGAATTAATTTATTATTATGGAGTTAAGAATTAAAAAGATAATAATTATAGAACTACATAATAATAGATGGGTGTGTTTTTAAATGAAAACTTGAATATCTCCACAATAATTAGTTATTATCATACACAATACAATTTATACATTTATACCAAAAGGGATTATTTTAGAGCTTATTTTAATTTTTAGTTTTACCTTTTAATAAGTAATTATTTATTTAAAATAAAATAACTCACTTATTAATTTTAGTTTTCCAATGAATTTTGTTAAATTAAATAATTTTTAATTTAATATTTTTTAAATTTTAATTATTTTTAAAATAAAAATAACTATTAATAATAAAAAATTATTTATAAAATGAGTAAAATTTATTTTTTGTTCTAAAAGTTACTTTGTATTAAATTTTATAATTATAATTGTATTACTTTTATTATTTTAAAAAATAACATCCATATGTTTCCACTAATTAATTATAATTTTTTTACTTATTTTTCTAACTATTTTATGATGAAAATCGTTTCAAGATCTCATACCGTTTTTTAGAAAAAAATCCACACTTCTCCTTCGTCAAATGACCTATTTTCTGTGAAATGTAAGATGATAACTGTTAGTTACTTCAAAATTAAATAGAGGATAAACACAAATTATTTTAAAAATTAAACTCAAACCTAATCTAAAAGACAAATTTTTAATAATTTAATGTTATTGGCCAATATCAAAGATAACAGGTGACGTGTGAAGCGTCGTATACCTAGTCCGCGTTAGAAAAGTCAATAAAAAAATTTGGTGGAAAAATGGACTTTGACCCAAACATCACAATCTTGATGACAGTCAATCAACACTTCATCAATTCCACAACTAATCTTTTTCTTCTATCAAGACCAGTTCTTCATCCTAATCTCTACTTACAATTAATATAATCTTTTTGAAAATGGGGAATGAAAATATTTTTTCTTAAAATCTAGGTATTGATCTTGTGTCGTTTTCATTCTAAACAATGTCTAGATATTAATTATTATAAACTTTGATATTTTAGTTATGTTAACATCTTAAAACTCAACCATTATTTCCATTACATAAAAAGTTATTAAAAATATAAAAAATATAAAGTGAATCACATTAAACCCAATGATCAAACTATATCTAAATAAATATATGAAAGTAAAACATTAAATTATTTATTTGTTTTATGAATCAAAGCTAAATTAGTTAACTTATTAACAAAATCAATTTTCTAACAAAAAAACGTGAAAAACTTTAAATTGTCTATACTTAAAAGAAGGCAAACATTGGCTTCATTTTCTTCTAAGATTCCGATAACTATTTATTGATCCAAAAAACCATGACAACCAAGTCATGCATGATCCACATAAACTCAATATAAATACAACTTTGTACTTCTAAAAAGGTTGAAAAACTATCCAACATATTCACCTTGACTTCCTCTATAAATACTAGTACAAGAAGTCAAACCCTCTAACTACACCATAAGTATTCAGCTTGAACCAATTAACATATGAAACTCGTCATATTACTTCCATAAACGAAATCATCCTAACATCCCTAGTTTGAATATTGAAAAATTATATCACCAAAAAATCAAAGAATGTATTGCTCATATGATTCTTAAATTTATTTCAATGGCATTAGTTCTTTAATTTGAAAAATATTATAAAAAAAGTTAATTGAATTCTGAAATCTACTTCTCATATTCAAATCATCAAGATAACTACAATAATAATAACCGTTTTAAGCAAAGGACTATAAGAGATTTTATAACCTTCTTTAACTATTTCCATAACCATATAGTAATAGAACATTGAAACAACAAATAAAACAATGAAATAACAAATAAGATAACGGTTCAATATTATCTTCATGTAAATTGTACATGGAGCATACGCTAGTCGAAAAATGAT